CATCTGCACCTACCTGTGTCAGCCGAGTCGCCTCTTGTAAACTACAAGCAAAGTGAAGACAATTGCAACTCATATCTTAACAGGTCGAAGTTTGTGTATTTAAACTGTATTTATAACAGGACGTTATTATCAGTGTCTTGGCGTGGGTGTATGGCCACCGGCAAGTGTAATAAAGGAGAATCCATTTCTGCCCGCCTGTTCAATTGTATCTTCGTGTTTAAAGGTTTATGGTAGGATCTTATGTAGTTCAGCCAGGCATGAGGCTGCAACGTCTGGGTTGTGTGCAGTCTTTTTTCATTTCATGACTTTTGTCTGAGGCAATTTAACATTTAGAGAACCCCGCACGGCATGAACTACTTTAGTAGGCGAAGTGAGATCTTTTCAGTCGCCATTTCAGTCTGAGTCAGTAAACTGTTCAATTGTTTAGAAACTCATTGCACTTTAGATATTGCTAGACCGAAAGAAAGTAAGGGTAGAAATAGTACACTCCTTGAACTACTGTACTTGTGGTAATTAAACGCCCGAAATATGAATCTATTGAAACCTCGAATGGTGACGTAATGAAGCTTCACATATTGGTGGAAATAGCCCCTAGACTTAATCTCAGAATATATGTAATTTCGATCGAAAAAAGTAATTCCATTCCAATGACAAAAGGAGCCCCAGTGATTTGGCAGAACCTGGGGAGATCTAGACGTACTTTATTTAGGGCGTTAGCATTGCTAGAAGGACTGGGCGGAAGAGAAAATAGTGTAGTTCAGGGTCTGTGAGACAAGACTAATAGCACCCTTTAGAAAATGTCAGGGAAATTTGACAGAGTTGTCTCCCCGAACAACTCTCCAGTTTCAGTGGGTTCATTCAAAACGAAGTATGGCGAAGGATGTCGTAAATATATTGCTCTCTGAATGAACTGTTTGCTTTAATTTTTCATTCACTTCTTTAAAAAATACCCATTTACAAATTATTTCGTTTCGTCTTTGAACGAACCTTCCAGCTTTCAAATTTGTGTGGGGCGGTGGGGTAGCCTAGTGGTTAAAGCGTTGGCTCGTCACGCCAAAGACCCGGGTTCGATTCCCCACATGGGCACAATGTGTTAAGCCCATTTCTGGTGTCCCCCGCCGTGATATTGCTGGAATACTGCTAAAAGCGGCGTAAAACTAAACTCAGTCAGTCAGTCAGTCAAATTTGTGTTTATTGACAGGTAGCAGATCAAGCGGAAGAAAATTATCATAATGTCATATTGACATGTCTTACCTGTATCCTGTGTACAATACCATATTGTTCGTTTAGGTAGGTGAATGACATGTTGATTTTGTTGGTGGCAATCGCGGTTTTAGTCATTGTGGACGCGTTTGAAAATCGAATGATTTTACGATTTCCTGGTTTAATGGAGTTAGCTAATCCTCCACAATGCCAACCGTAAGCATTGATTCTGACAATTAAGAACATCAAAATGTTGTCTGGAACATCCAGTCATCGTATCGACGAGATCGGAAACTTGACATACGTGTGTACGGCAGTCTCGACTTCAGAACGAATCAACATATGTCTTCAACCGGAACTTTACTGTTTCGCTCAAAAACAGGGGCAGTGGGGTAGGTAGCCTGGTGATTGCAGCGTTCGCTTGTCACGCCGAAGACCAAGGTTGGATTCCCCATATGGCCACAATGTGTGAAGCCCATTTGTGGTGTCCAGTATTTGGCCACAATGTGTGAAGCCCATTTGTGGTGTCCAGTATATGGCTACACGAGGCATACAAACATGCTCTTTCACATTTTCTGTCATAATTATAATGTTCGTTACTGCGAAAGACATACCTTTACGTTTCTACTTAACTCGTACCATTCGCCTATTTCCTTTTTGACATATTGATGGTTTTAACCAAAAAGTTGAATGTTCACTTCTTAGCAATGTGTGATGTAATACCTAAAACGTTTTTGTTTTGTTTGTTGTATATTGTTTTTTTCCCTTTTGTTCTTTGTGTGTATTTGTTTTACAAACATTAATGGGTAATGAATAATATGTTAATCAGGGATATAAATATAATAACCCTGAAATACCAGCGCATATAGAGACTGTTATACCATACATAGAAAATATATCGCGCTCTGTGTACAACTCATAAAAATATAAAGGTGTAAGCAGTACACGATTACTATTTCGCAAACTCCTGGTCATTACTGATTTCCACTGACCCTTTTCAACACAATTTATAACTAATTCGGGATATGTTTCGTAAAGATTCGATAATCAAGGCTGAATAGTCTCTGGTGTTGACGTTTTGGAATTCTACAATAGCATTTCACTATACACTATTCACTTTCATAATTCTGTACCACAGCGTTACTTAAATCGGAGTCTTTTCCCTAGTTATTATATAAAATACATATACAGTAACGAGCAGAAAAAATGCGACTTTTCACAGACGTAGTTTCAAAATTTATTTACTGATAAATTCAGTTATATTTTTCATACATCCACTCTGGATGCTGAATTTTTTACATTTATGCAAGTCAATAGTCTGTTAGTCCACCGTTTCTCTCGATGCACTGCTGAATACGGCGTCCCATGCTGTCAATCAAATTGTCTATGTAGTCCTGGGGTAGGTCCACCCATATTTGACTGATGAGTTTAAACCACTCAACGACACTCTTCGGTTCCAACTTTTGTAATTTGTCCTTCATAATCTGCCACACATTTTCAACTGGGTTCAGGTCTGGTGATGCCGCTGGAAATTTCTGCAAGGTCACTTGACACGTTTCAAACCAGTTACAGGTGTGTCTTGACTTGTGTACAGGTGCATTGTCCTGTTAAAGTTTGAAAGGTATTCCACTCTGTCCTATATGGGATTCCACTATGCCTTCCTGTAATAGTTAGCAGCGGCGTTACCCCGAGTTTGCCAATACCACCCCAAACCATGACACTGGGGGAGAACTTCGGAACCATTTTGCAGCTACGTCCACCTCTTGCACCTCTTTCTTGTGATCCTATAAAACTGAAACTTTGATTCGTCCGTAAAAGTCACATTTGAAAAGTCTGTACTCCTGCATTTCCCTGCACCACTCGAGCCTTTTCTCCATATGTGCTGTTGTCATCAATGGAACTTTCTTCGGCACTCGCTTGATTGCTTTAAAGATCTTCTGATTGTCCATTCTGATACCTTAGGGGTTCCTTGACTTGACGCCTTCACAGCAAGCTGTTTCGCAGACCAGTTTGGGTACGCCGCCGCGAGACGCGCGATGCGTCGTCTGTCATTTGCCCCAAGAGTAGCACGACGTCCCGATCCAGCCTGTCGCTCTGTCCCTAACCCTGCGTCAAATTTCGGTAAACAGAGGCTCGTTGCCTTCCCGTCAGTTTCACAAGTCTAGTTACGGACGTAATACCTGCTTCATAATATGCAAAGAGTCGATTTCTGTTGTTTTGTAACGTCATGGCAAAGCTTCGGTATCGTCTGCTAGCAACGAGGTCACGTGATCAAGCCATCCGAACCCAAAGGCGATAATTCCATACCAACGAGGCAAACTACTGGCGGCTAGAAACAATGTATTTTGGCTTTTTTGATAGTAGGATCGAGTCTACAGAATTAAGTTCTTTGTCGCATTTTTTCTGCTCGTTACTATATATGATAACTTGTGTAGTGTTTGAATGGGTTTAATGCCAGAAAGCAGATCTGACACCATCGAAGACAACGTCATCGGAAAAAAAACCCATAAAACTTGTGTATTGAAACGTAAAAACAGTTTCCACAACCTAACAGGAAATCACATATAAAGCAGAAACGTCGCAAAAAAGGCACAAACACATTGTTGTTCTCAAAGAAAGCAAAGTTAAAAATTGCTGGGTCTCATATTAGCGTGGGTTTTGGGTGAAATCAGCGCGTTTACCCAAATTAGGTCCAGGAAAACGACTTAATCACAGGCCAACCAGTGTCTTGTTTCAAACTCTTCATTGGCTTTGTATTGATGGATTGTGTCTCACACGAACACGACGTTTTATTTGCTGGTTTAATGCATTCAGACACAGACACTCTGACCCTTCTGATAATCTGATACAGCGAGGGCAAAACGCTAACTTGTAGTTCGTGACAACTCCTGACAATCTGAGACAAGTCCCAAGGCCCTTCGTGGCACCGGAATGGTATCATCGTACACTGGTGACACTGTCTTGTTCCCAGAGCAAGTCTCTAGCAATATACTAGCTTATCGAGCTAGGATGACAGTTGAACTGAATGTGTCTCAGTAAAACGTTCACACCATTTGAAAGATTTAATCATTTGTTGTGTTCATTGTGTTGCACATTGTTATTTTAATGACATTACAACTTTTACGATATATTCAGACTTGTACAATTGCCGTGTCCTTGGTTACAATCACATAAAGTACAACTTATAATATTTGTGTTTGAGATCATACGTTGATCACATTGCTTAGCTAAATAATGAGCTGCTACATGCGTCTCTGGCAGTATTTATGCTTGTAAATGAACGTAAAAAAGGCTTTCCACACTCATAATAATCATTGCCAAAAGCAGACTCGACTGTGCTATTCCGTGGGGCGGTGGCGTAGCCCAGTGGTTAAAGCGTTCGCTCTTCACGCCGAAGACCTGGGTTCGATTACCCACATGGCTACAATGTGTGAAGCCCATTTCTGGTGTACCCCGCCGTGTTATTCTTTGAATTTTGCTAACAGCGGCGTAAAAAGTAACCCACTCGCTCATGGAATAGTGCCAATACCAGGCGTTCGCGCAAAGGAGAGCGTATCCTGCTCCACCCATGGCGTTCGTCACAGACACACGCAAGGGCATGCCAGTTGTTCACCACTAATAACACAGGAACATATCGGACATCACTTTTGTCACCGAAGCGTCAAATTTAGAAATCATCCGCATTTCTAACATAGTAGGTTTTGAAAGGATTACTTACTTATTTCTTGAACGTTGTTAATGACACATGACTAATCAAACATACTGAACATTTATTTGTTGTTTTTTTCTCGTTGCAGATAAGATGGTACTCGGCCAATTTTCCATATGTGTATAAGTTTTCCTCGCACAAACTACATGGACGATCCTATTCTGAAATTGGCGGGGAAAGGTAACCTTTCCCACCCAGACGATAACTTCACCTGGTACCGCCCGGACACTATACACCAAGTTGCCCATTGCTTGACCTTATACTTCCAGCCAATCATATGCCTTTTTGGAGTCGTTGGAAATATTATATCGCTGATTGTTTTTTCGTCCAAAAAGCTAAGGACTGTGTCGTGCAATGTGTACCTGGCAGCACTGTCAGCCAGCAACAGCGCGTTCCTGTTGGCCTTGTTCATTGTTTGGCTGGAGATGCTTGGAATTCGACTAGTTCATCAGAATGGTTGGTGCCAGACCGTTATCTTTGTGACTTACGTGTGCAGTTTTCTATCCATCTGGCTTATTGTGTGTATTACAATTGAGAATTTCATCATAACCTTTCATCTTCACGACGCACCCCGGCTGTGCACCGTCAGTCGAGCGTTGGTAGTGGTTGGAGGTCTCACCTTCTTTGCTTTCTTAGTATACGACTTTGCTTTATGGTCAACCAAGGAAACAGAGATTCAAAATACCACCTACTGCTTTGTGTCGGATGAATATGGCACCATTGTCGCGGTTCTAACATGTGTGGATGTAGTTATAACACTTGTGCTGCCTTCACTGTTGATCATCTCATTCCTCATAGCTATATTCATCAGGAACATATCCCAGCCCAATGGTTTCAGAACAAACTTAAGACGTGTCCTTACCCGTAAAGAAAGAGCCTTGTTACGTGTGACAAGACTTCTCTTTGTCATAACAGTTTCTTTCATGATATTTTCAGCTCCAAGCCACGTGAATAAACTGTGGTACTTGATTTCAACCCTTTCAACAGATAAAAGTGAAGCGACTCAGAATGATAGAGTCACACAACATTTGTGCCAGTTAGTTTATTATACAAGTTTTTCCTGTAATTTTGTTTATTATCTTATATGGGGGAAGAATTTCAGACATGTGCTGTTTAATATTATCAAAAGTGTTGGCAAGTGCTGTTGCAAGCGTCTGCGACCACCTTGAACAATTCCCCTTGATGTCAAGCTGTATTTCGTCCAGACAATATGTGCTTTGTATTGCACACTTGTATTATAGAGCTTTGATATATACATCTTTGAATGAATACGCAAGTGTTGATTTTCGACATCAATAAACTGTTATACTATTTTATTAATAATGGTCCTTGTTTTCATGTGATTGGGTGTTTAGTCATACATACACCTCATACTTTGTTGTCTAAGCCGCTCTTTAAACTTCCTTGGAGATAACACTTCGGTTTGTTTCTTCTTCTTTTTGGTGTTGTTTTTATTATTCATCTTTCTCTAGGTAGAACGTCATGACATCAAATAACAGTAAAATATATATACATGTGTTTGTCTTGGCATATCCCACTTTGACAAACATATTATAACAGATGACACTGTAAGAAAATAGGCACGTTTTAAGTTAATATCAACAAGCATTGTCACTAAGGTGACAATATAATCCCCCGCCGCAAATTATCAAATCAAATTAAATTTCAACAAACATGACCAGTCAACCTCTCTTGATATCTTGCTCTGTAGTTGTTCAAACGCACAAATATTTTCAAGACTCACTTTGACCTTGACATGAATATCTTAGTGTATGAAATATGCAAAAATAGTAATAAAGAAATTGCCTATTGAAAAACATTCAAGAGAAGTATTGAAAGTCTATGTAGAAAATCCAGTTAACTGTTCTTGACATATCTCGCTGACAATCTTAACATGCAGTTTAACATGCTGAAATCTTCAAAGTGACGCTGTGACCTTGAAAATTATGTGAAGGTCACCATTGTGGATTTGTCAAACTTATTCCCGGAGTCAAACCATGCCCCTATAGAGATGTGCATGCGAATTACACCATTCCCACGAGCGATATCTTATGCTTATTACTATGATCATCATCTACCTCATACGGTAGGGACAGAAAGTTAGAGGCGGCTCAAGGAGCGAGCTTAATGTCGACGCCATCTTTCACAAAACGTTTGCACATATCCCGCAGTTTTGCACATATGCATATTCATTACCAGCAGATGACAAGGTGAGGTGAAATGGGGTTTAACGTCGTACTTAAGAATATTTCGTTCATATGACGACGTGCATGCATGTGTATGTGTGGCTGCTTGCACTAGCCAAGCGTTAGGCCTATTTTATAGTGCCAGCTCACTGAGATACCATGCCGCAGTTAAGCATGAATACCCTACTCAGACACATTATACTGACTCCGAGCTTTAATGCCGAGCGCCAGACAGGGACCAACAAGTACCATATTTTAACGTCTTTTCGAATGTCGCGGCCAGGGATCGAACCCGTGACCTTCCGCTCTCCGGGTGGACGCTCTAACGGAGGCGGTAAGATGACAAGCTAACTTTTTTCCCAGTTAAATAAACACACAATTATTTGTGCTTAATCTGAGACAAAATGTGAATAAATGTGACAGCAATCTGATTTCTGATTGGAGATGTTCGAAATAGCGCAGTTATAATACTACTGAACAATCTAGTGGATATAGTCCGTTTGGCTCAAAATCGAACCGATGAATTGCAATCTAACCCGAGAACTACTATACATATAATACTCAATAAAACACTGATCACAATCAAAACGTCAGACCAACTCTGTGATATTTCGCAGAACTTATTTCCTAAAAATATATATGTTGTTTAACAAACTATCATTAATATTTTGACAAAGTTCACAATTTGTTACGAGGGAGGACTGCAAAGAGAGGAACAGCCAGGTGTGCCAGAAAGGATGGAGACAGCACAGCACAGGTAAATGATTCAATAACTTTGTCGGCACTTGTGCACCTGCTCCGCGTAAACATTCCAGAGCTTTCCTCTTCTTTGTTGACTGATACTTAGCAATAACTGATTGACAATGTTCTAGTTTCTTCTCACTGGGTTCCAATTTCCTTTTAAGGATCAATTCATCTTTGTCACTTTTCTTAACATGATCAACAAAGATTTCCTCAACAGTCTTAAACTGATTTTCCTTTTCCGCGATAACGGACTTCAGGTTTTCAACACTCTGTAAAGACTGATGTCTTTCTATCATAACAAACCAAGAATACTTTGATGAGGACAATTTTTCCTTATACCTCTGAAACTGTAAACCACCTTTTACTCTGGCAGTAAGTCCAGCTTTCCTTAATCTATACTGAACAGCAAAAGTAACGCAAGTTTTTTATAAAGACAACCAAAATCATGTCTAATCATTTAATCTATAGAAAACACTGTCAATTTAACAGTTGAAAGTTGCTGTTGGCATTGAATTGCAATAAGTTCAAATTGATCACAGTCCGTCAAATGGAGATACCCCTGAACGCGAAAAGTGACAGTCTCTTTAGTAGCGCGTTTAGCCACCTTGAGCTTGCACACAGGCCGTGCAACGTGGCCTCATTGAGTTCACTAGAGTCTGAAAGACTGCCTGAGGCAACTGGTTCCGCTCAAACACCAATCTGTATTCCAATTGTGCAAGTGTGAGTGGCTGTCTACCTGCCCCAATCCTCCGTTCAATTTCGTCCCAGAATGTTCAAACGGAGCCATATCCGGGAAGGAGACGGCAATGGAAAAATATTAACGTTGTTCTGAGCCAGATGATCCATCAACACCCTTGCTGTGCGCGGGCTGCTAGTGTTGTTGACGTGTCAAAACTGGCCCCACATATGGCCGTCGGCAGTGGATTCCAGCAGCCCGAAGACGACGCCTAATCCTATCGCTGGACACTGCTCCACTTGACCCAAGAACTGAGGCTGCTGTTACTGTTTCTGCTTGAGTTTGGTTCTTTAGATGAGTGACCCGGATGAACCGATCTTGCGTATGAGTTGTCACTCGTTGCCGTCCGGTACAGGGACGATCAGCAGCAATCCCGGTTTGCTGATGACGTTGAGCAAGTCGTGTAATGTGGTAAGATGACAGCCCAATTGCCTAGCTACAGCGGTTGCAGAGCTACCTCCGTGCAACTTTCCCATGGCCACTCCCCTCTGCTCAGTCGTTAGTCTAGGCATCGTTTGTGTGGCGTGTACACCTCCTAGCGTCAATCCTGAACTGTTTTTTGACACAAACCTTTATAAAAAATACCTCAGAGTGAAATGCATGCTTTCCATCCAGAACCGTCGACGCACGTGCTAAAATTATGGTTTTGCTGCACTGTTTGTGTGTTTGTGCGAATGGTTCGTATGGATGTCAAATTGCATGACATCATCTCATCTGGGATCATTACGTCACGTTCCATAAACATGAACGGTTACCTTTATGAAATTTCATTTTTTCAAAACTTGCGTTTCTTTTGCTGTTCAGTGTATATAATTCATTCCGTAAACTCTTGCCGCTGCGACACGAAACATCGCCATTGAAAGAATGCACACTGGAGATTATCAATCTTCTGTTGCCAGGCTGAGTCTGAGTGTTAGTCTGAGCACCATATCACGGCTTACAGCTCGTAACAACCAAACAGGTATAACAAATGACCGTCCCCGTACAGGCAGACCTCGAGTTACCACTGCAACCCAAGATCGGTACATCCGGGTACTACATTTGCGTGATCGTACTGCCACGGGTGAGAGCACAGCAGCCAGGGTGCCTGGACTTCGGAGGATATCCGGTCAAACTGTACGGAACAGGTTGAGAGAGATTGGACTGAGAACCTGGAGACCCTACGTCCGGACCGTGATACGTTGTCACCATCGCGCTTAACGTCGCCGTTATCTAAAATTATCCACTTGGTTGCATAAACATGTTCTTCCTCTAAACTGATGTAAACATTCATGTACTAAAGTCTATTTGTGGACGAGTTATACATGTTTGAAAATACAACATATTCGCCAAAGATATATCGGTTAGGCGTTTCGGTTTAGGAATAGTATACGTTGTACTGAGAAAAACACTTCACATATTCACCACTAAGAACTCACTTCCTCGCCGTTTGGGCGGGTAATTCGTCTGCGTGCCATATTACGTCGACAACGTCACGAGAAGGCGAGGGAGACCAAGGGGCATTACTCTAAATGCTTGTGCTTTAAATTTCTGTGAATTTTCGCCATATGTTTGGTTTTAGTCTGACAAACACAATTTAAAGGCCTATGTATTGATATTGCAAAATAATCGAGGTGTAATATATTTTTAAATCGATATCTTGTCGTTCGGGTAATTTGCATTGATATGTAATATGTAAGTTAGACAATTTTAGAATACACTTAACTGTTGTTGTTTGTTAAATCATGCCGAATTCTTTCACGGACAGATTCCTAGGTTATTTTATTGTTTCAACTTGCAAGTTGTAATCTTTATAACTTACGTGAAACCCATGAGGTCGATGCTGGCGAACCTTAATTTGTATCAGGGAAATTGGCGGATTCGAACCAGCAATCTTTGGTTTCTGACATACCTTACTCTGCGTGGCCAATCCTTAGCTTTACCATCAGACCTCCACCCTTAACAAGAACAATATGAGTGTGAGAAATTTCATGTTTATTTAACTTCAACATACGACTGGCAACGCTGATGTGAAAGCTCTGCACGGGTGTGGTATGGTTCTCCCTGACTGGGGAAAGTATAGCATCAAATCTGAGCTACGAACGGGCGCCAAACGGATACCACAGCTAAGAAACACACTACTTCAAATAGAAGTACACGAACAGAGCAATCAATACGAATGTGAGTAAATTAATATATTTGTCGCTTTCATTTCATTTGTGATGTACATGATTACGAAGCTCTTTGAAACTGATCCTGATGTTTTAAGTAAAGTAGAGATGTCTCTGGTATCTATATTACATATTCGTGTCGCGACGCCCTTGGATTTTAATACCAATTGCCTTGAGACTGTTGCTCTCTCCAGCCAAGTAGACTGCAGACATGATATAATAAGGCACTGCAGACTCCAGGATTCCATCTCATTTACATGCATAACGTCGTAACAGCTACCGTATAAACTACTGTATTGATTGAATACAAAATGGTGAATAACTAAATAATGGAAAACTAGAGGAATCATTCGACATGTGGTAACATTGTTTATAATGTTTTATAATACTACGTACGTAAATATTTAAAAGGCAGAATTGTATATCCAAGATATTTTTTGGGATTAAACTTCTTTTTAATTTCTATCACGACGTTTCGAGACCATTCCAGGTCCCTTCAT